CCTCTCAGTCTGACTGGAGAGGACTCTCCCTCCACATTATTGTAGAAACATCTTCTTCTAATATCCGTTAGAGCAGCTAGCACCAGATGCTAATACAACAGCGCTGGTACCGGTGCACCCTCCATTTCTCCCTGGCTTGCTCCCACGCTCACTCGCACTTTGGCTGTGAGCTGCGGGTGCCAGATAAGCCAACATCCCCCGTTTTCATCACTTACAGCGCCCATCTTACAGGGCAAATGAAAAGTGTAACCGGGATGAAAAGGGTGTTACATTTACTTAATGATGAATGTTGTTACATCAAGGCCGAAAATTAGGATGAGCGCCAACGGTCAAAACATTTTTTTTTTCTCCCAGAGCTGTCAGCGCAGCGCTTCCACAGATCTGGCGCCCTAGGCGAACATCTATAACGCCAGTGCGACGGGCCGGCCCTGGTCTCAGGTTACGCTGTAGGAAGTGTAGGTACAACGCTACATTTCCCGGCCTGCCGCAGTCATACAGTAGGCTACGGAGAGCGGCGAGAAACATTTCCTCGGGCATCGAAAAGAGGAAGCGAAATTCACATTTCTAAATGATGCCGTTGGAATCTAAATGTTGGAACCGGTTCCGAATCGGAACCGGTTCTCGGTACCCAACCCTAATAGCCATGCAGTAAGCAGTGTGCTATGTGCATGTGATTGAGGAATGGCATGGATATTCAAGTGTACTTGAATGGCATCTGTTTGTTTTAGTCAAGATTATGCTAAAATATATTTTCCCAACTATATTTAAGTCAACCTTCAATTTAGAAAATTCAGTTTATTCCCATACATTCCCATTAATTCCCATGGAAAGTTTCTATCTTTGAAAATTCCCGGAATTTTGCAACCCTAAGTAGTATTGAAGCTCTATTGCTAAGAGCAGACACACTTGTAACTAAATCATGAAATCAGAGCAAAATGCAAAGTAACAATATCATTTTCACATACCATCCAGTTCTAGTATCACACAATTGTAATTTAAGCACACCTTTTAATTGCATCTGTATGTGCCCCCTCCCCTCTGTACTCAGGATCTCCAGAGTCCTCCAGCTCCCCCCTCCCTCCGGACCCCCAGGACGGTGACGAGGCTCTGGCCCTGCGGCTGCAGCAGGAGCTGGACAGGGAGGCAGCAGGGGTCCAGAGTGTGGACCTGAAGGAGGGGGGGCTCTTCTTCTGTCAGATCTGCCACAGAGATCTGTCACACATGACCCCAGAGGGACGAACGCAGCATCTCAACAGGTGTGCACATTCACATTGTGCCTGTGAAGATTTTAATCAGTGGGCGCACAATCCACCTGGCTGAAACTGAGACTGATTCCTCTCTGCAGGTGTTTGGATCAGAGTGAAGAGAGCGCCCCTGCTCCTCCTCCCCCGCCTCCTGGGCTCCCCGACTGTCCCATCTGTGGAAAGAAGTTCAAGACCCAGAAGAGTCGCTCGGCCCACCTGAAGCGCTGCTCCTCAGATATGGGGGTCGCTCCGGCGGTGCTGCTGCAGGCGCTGCACAGACAGACTGAGGAGACCCCGAATGTCCCCACCACCAACACACTGTGAGACCACCTCGCTGTGTCGTAGTAACTTAAAATCAGCTGCTCTCTAGAGAAAATTATGAGTTAACACAATATCGATATAAAGTATTTTAAGATCTTTGTTTAAAGGTCTCCTATTATACTCTTTTTCATCAATATATTCGAAACACCAAACAGATCGTGCATTGTAGCATCCCACAAACCCCTCTGTCTCAGCCCTGTTTCAATAGTGCTGATTCTCTGTCTGTTACTTTAGATGAAAATAAGGAGC